GGATACCCAAACACAAACCATAACAGCTTTCCTTGACAATTCCATAATCTTTCCTGTCTTCAGGAAGCATACACTGCTTCCTTCATAGAACATTCTCACCTCTATCTGTACCAGTTAGTGTCTAACCCATCTCCCTATCTCAGCCTAAGGGACACTTCCTCAGGGAATCTTACCCTTACTGCAAGCCAGAACTTCACTTCTTTTGAGAGTCACAGACTCAACTCAGCTCCTTATTTGTTTCATGATTAATCACAGAATTTATTTCAAATTTGGTTTTATTGCATTTGTAACCCCTAATTTATTTTAAAACTCCAAAAAGACAAAAGATTTTGGTTCATACTCTGCTGTGATATCATTTTTACTTAAGAAGGTCTTACAGTGCTTCCTCAAAACAAACAAAAAAAAAAAATTAGCCAGATAAATGATTGGATACTAGTGCTACTTCCATGAAAACAAGCACATAAAGACTGAGTTAAAGTCTTTGCCTTCTTCAAGCACAAGCTTATTTTAACATAGAATATGTAAAAGAAATCATACAAAACTATAATAAAAGATAAAACTAAACTTGGAATAAGGCAAAGCTCTGTAGGTATGGCTCCAAAATCTCTAAGGACAAATAAAATCAATAAGATAATTTTATATAAGATTTTAAACTTGTGCATAGTATGGCTCTCATAAATTGGAAAAATATGTACAACAGAAATAAAACTCTAGGGACAACATATAATCAACTCCTATAAATCAACTAGAAAAAGATAAAAATTAGCAAAAATGTCTAAAGCAAGATTTGGTTACACAAATTTTAATATGGAAGGGTAATAAAGAGGAGGACAGAAAGGGGTTGATGAATGGGTATAAAAATACTTTTAGATAAGAAAAGTAAGTTTTGGTGTTCTATAGCACAGGAAGGTGATACGTTAAAAAATAATTTAATATATCTTTAGTGTGTATTTCTAAATACCTAAAGGAAAATATTTTAAATGACTCTAAGGAAAATAATGACAAATCTTTTAAATGAATGACATATTAGTTACACTAATTTGATCAGTCAAAAATTCAGAACAAAATATAAATTGAATATGCAAAACTAGCAGTATCAGATTATATTTTATCCACCATACATTCCAAGAGTATTTTATTTAGGACTTAGAACACAGTAAGTAAAGAAACCAACTTGTGAAATGAACTAATGAGAAATAATGAACTGTAAAGCTTCAGAAATTGTATTTATGTAACTTGCAAAGAAAATTCTATAGTGGAAAAAGTGCTCTACACGTAGTGGAGCTCTATGGCCTTCGATCCGGGTGCTCCAAATCATCCTTCTATGGCCACCAAATGTGTCTGCAATTAGACATTTTTCCTTATGTAGATTCTAGTTAACTAGTCTGGCCACAGCTTCTGAAATGGTCCATTCACTTTTAATAGATGCAGGATTTGAACTGACTTCCCTGCCTATTGGAGCATTTACCCATACTTCTGCTATCCAAATTCAATAGCATTTCACTTTCTTCTCTCTCTCTCTCTCTCTGTCTCTCTCTCTCTCTCTCTCACCTAATTTAGCTTGTAGCTTTATTTAATAACTAAGCTCTACCTGACTATGCTAAAGTAAAGACTGAGTCAAAATTGAGGTCTCTTCTAATTATAGGAAAGGTCTAGAAATCCCAGAGATCTCAAGATTATGAAGTAATGGCTCAAAGTCTTTTATGTATAGAAAATAGGCACATGATGCTTCTCTGAATCTGCTTGGTCTTGATGCTATATATGATAGGGTTCATGAATGGAGGAAACAGAAAGTAGACGTAGCTCATGGTAATATGGACCATGTGTGGGGCGTGTCTCCCAAACCTGTGGATGAAGGTCAGGCCGATCACAGTGATGTAGAACACCAGCACACAGCTAATGTGGGAGACACAAGTGTTGAGGGCCTTCGCTCGCTCCTCTCCAGAGGCGATGCCCATCACTGTCTTAAGGATTAGGACATAAGAAAAGACAATGATTAGGGCATCCAGAAAGAAAGTCAAAGCAACCAGAATAACTGGGTACAAGTGATTAAAGGTAATATCGGCACAGGCAAGTTTCATGACATCCTGGTGGAGGCAAAAGGCGTGGGAAAGGACATGGGAATGACAGTATGGGAACCAGTAGAGGGGCACAATTGGGGGTATGAGAGATATAAACCCCCTCAACACTACCCCCAGTCCTATCTTCGTCACCCTGGAATTGGTGAAAATAGAACTGTACCTCAGAGGGGCACAGATGGCAACGAAACGGTCGTAGGCCATGGCCAGCAAGACACCTGATTCGACAATGGAAAGGGAATGAATGAAGTAGGCCTGTGTGAAGCAGGCCCCGTGGCTGATCTCCCTGTGATTCACCCATAAGACCCCCATTACAGTAGGCATCGTGGTCAGAGTCACTGTGAGATCTGTGAGCGCCAGCATGGCAAGGAAATAGTACATGGGTTCCTGGAGTCTGCAATCGCTTTTAATGAGATGGAGGAGCGTGCCGTTGCCTAGAAGCACGGAGACATAGATGAGAAAGAAAGGGAGGGAAATCCAGTGGTGAGCTGCCTCCATATCTGGGAAGCCAGTCAGCAGAAAAGGGCCAGCACTAGTGTTGGGCCACATGGTGTGCTCACTGCTGGACAGGCAAATTTATGGAAGAAACTATGAAACTCAATACTGAGCAGCCTCAGTCAAACATTTTACTCAGAGGCAATTACATGACCCACGTATCGTTCTGCAACTATTTCTTTTTCAATAGTAGACACTTACAGCTGTGCCAGCAGTGAGGAACCATAATTGTTTCATTACTTATATATGATATTAGGCTAAGGGATGTGATTTTCTTAATTAGAAATGTGTTATTTTATAGCATTATGCCCTATTGCTTTGTGCATGCTTGAAGAGCTTTGAAACAATAGTGGCTACACAGAGATGACGGGGACATAGATCTTTTGTGGGAGGGAAAGTGTCTGTGAGTTGGAGGGAAGGTGGAGGTAGGGAGGAGGAAAGGAGATTTTAAAAAAGAAGAAGATGTGTTATGCACATATACCAGCTCCCCACAATGAATGCAATTATTATGTACTGCAAATATGCACTAATAAAAATTTTAAGAGCCATCTCTTTAAAAAATGAAAAGATGAGAAATACATACAAATGGATAATAATTGTTCTTACCTAGACTACTCTTTAGTTTGTTTGCAGTTTTAAATTCTGTATTTCACAATAGTAATAAAGACATATTTTATTAGAAAATTTTTTTAGATTAGTTTTGAATGCAATCCCAATGGCTTGTTGAAGTCTAACAGAAGCCATAAAGTGTCCATGGAGGAAAACTGGCACAAGAGGATGATTTCATGTTTAGTCTAAAAGCATTTACAGTTTTTCCTGAAGTTCACTCAGAGGTTCCACATTAGAAATGCCAATCTGCCTTGCTCTATTTGCTAAAATGAGATAGTCCATGCTGTGGATTAAAATAATATTGGCCATTATAGCACCTGACACATGCATTCTTGAAGTGACAGTTTCTTACAAACAAGTACAAATGCTGATATGATCTTTGGAACAAGAAGTTTCTTATCTGTCTCTTGGTGTTATCCAGAGGTCATGGTCTTGCTTCTGGAATAGGAAGACAAATCTTCACCTACTTCAGGTATCCAGTAGTAGGTGAAGAAATGGATATGGTAGAGGTATTCTTTTTCATCCCTGGAATTGTCTGGTAATTTGTAATGAGAAAGGATAATACTCATTTTCTGCCAGAGATAAAGGATCTGAGGATTTCTCATATCTTAAACTAGCCTGGCATTTAAACTTATCTGGAACCTAGCAAAATGGTGAGATTTTAAGATAAGCAAGGGGACCATGTGGTCAACATGCGGGTCATATTTTAGAGTTTGAAATTACAAATTCAGTTCATTTCCTCCTCAGTCCTACTCTGCTCAGAAGTCTTTGGGGAAATCGGTAGGATTGGGGCTATCCCGATCTGGAGTCAGTCTCTGAGAAACCCTTGAGTAAGTCTGATCCATGTCTGCTTCATACTCGGGTGCCACAGAATGAGGTGGAATTAGTGAGGCCTTGAAAGTATTCACCTGATTTCAGCCTGCCCCACTGCTGCAAAGCAGTGGGATATACTGTGTTCTCTGACACTGGCAACTACACAGCTCTTCCAACCCTGAAATAGACCCCCAGTTCTGGTAACACCACTTCCGCTAGGACACACGCACAGTAATGTAATGGTACAGAGGTAGTCTCAGGGCAGAGACAATCTGCAAGGTAAAATGCCCTGGATGGAGGGAGAAAAGACTCCCAAGAATGGGAGCGGTTGATCAGCCAACGCTAGGTTAGAGGCACTGGGAAGAGGTAGGAAGGACCCAGACAACATCTGAGTAGCCATTTATGTTGCTGTCACTCATGTATTTTCTAAAACTATATTAACTCCTTTCATGCTGCCTGTTCTATTCCCAGTGATGTATAGAATCACAGCAGCAAAATGTCATATACAGGAGGAATTTTCATGTCCTGGAATTAAATAGCAACTGAGACTCTAATCTTATGAAACATAACTTAAGTTAAAAAGTAAATGAGACACTTTTAGTTAAATGTAATTACATTTGTTAAATAACATAGTACTCTCTAATGGAAAGTGATTGAAGGCTGGGTATGGCGGCACATGCCTATAATCCCAGCACTTGGGAGGCTGAGGCAGGAGGATCCCTGAAAGTTCGAGTCCAGCCTGGGCTACAAAGTGAGCTCAAGCCAGCCTGAACTGCATAGTGAAATCCTGTCTCAAAATGACCAAAAGAAAAAGAAAAAAGAAAGTGATTGGGATACAGGTTAGTGTAGTTCCACTTGTCTGAGGCTGCAACCCTGAGGGAGTAACATCTGAGCTGAGACCTGAATCACAAAGAAGCAGTCATATAAGGGCCTGGAGGAAGACTGTTTGATTGAGTGAGGAAATCGGCTTGACTGAGGTTGATCAGCAAACAGGGGAGACACAATGGACATTATCAGCAGCCCAGACAGTGGTCAGAACTCACAGGCTTTACAGATAACAGTAAGATCTCTTTTTATGCCAAATATGATGAAATTAGGGAGCTTTAAAAATCACAGTGGAGGAGAGGGTGGTAATGTACATTGATTTGCATTTTAAGATTATTCACCTGGCTGTTATGTGAGCAATAAGCAGGTTAGAAAGCTCTGGAAATACAGGTGAGGAGAAATGTCGACTTTGTCTAGGAAGAAAGAGCAGAAATAATAATACTAATAATAGCAGTAATAATAAACTTAAAGAGGTAAGGTGTTCTTTTTAAAAATTAGCAAGATTTGCTGGTATATCGGAAGAGTAAGGAAGGTGAAATCACATTGGTTCTAGGTTACCGGCCTACTTGGAGGAAATGGTGACTCACTCATAAACATGGCTACATTAAAGCAAATCTGGGTCCTGTCGTTTTTCCTTACCAAATACCAGTGCATTTTCATAAAGATGTTTCTCCTCAAACTAAAAAGATGATCACATTCACTTAGGTCCCTCTGCAGTTATTTTGTCAGTGTGAAACACCACCCTCAAAATGCCCCCAAAGAAACCATTTTCCTACCTTGCACTTGCACAGGTGAGATTTATATATAACCATTTTCATCAGTGAAGAATGATAGACAACGGTATAAAAAACTGTCTTTCTGCTTCACATTTGAGACTAAGGAATGTAAAAATAACAAAATCACTTGTTCGTCTCCAGTTTCAGTCCACAGAAGTGAGAGTTACAAAGCAGAATTTAGTACCCTTTGAAAAAGTAATAGGTAGTATATATATTTCAGTTATCTGATCCACGTAGCACCTCCTTTTCTGTGTCCTAAACACAACTTCACTCTCTTCACCTCATTCTTATGTCTCTGACCATTCAGGAACATTCTTCCTTGACACGATCTCTTCCGTAGCACAGCTGGTAAAGAATTTCCTGTTGTAAAACAATATGCACTGCCAGTAATAAATCGCCACAGGAACAGCTATCCCAAATAAAAGGAGTTCATTGTATTTTGTCAGTAATCTCCAACGCAGTTTTGCCTCTTCCTGAGAACAGTACACAGAGGTACCTTATGATGCAGCTGTGTTACAGATCAAAAAATTTAGCCTACTTCCTGCTACGGGAAATGCGCATGACCTCAGCGAGGACCTGCTTTTTGTTTCTAAGAAAAAAGACAAAGTGAAAAGAGAAGGCAAAAGGTGAGGAAATATCATAGAAAATGGAAGAGGTCACAAAGACGGAGAATGGTACCAAGATGAAGATTGTGTAATTGAATCTATGAAAAATCAGGTGAACGGCTATTTATGCCAGAATCCTTCTACCGCTTGTTAGGGAAAACAGTCTGATAGAATAAGTAGTGCCTCTCTGTTCATCTTCTAGAAAGCCGAGCGACAAGTGGGAGGCTCAATCATATTCCTATCACTGGGCATGAAAGGACTTAGATACTCATGGCCAGCTCCATTCCCCGGTGATACCGACTTCAGGCTGAGATCTGTACCCAAAGCCAAAGCTGGGGGTTGATGAGATCCTTTTCTTCTTCTCCCTGCCTCTCCGTGAACAGCTGGTAGAGGAGTCTACTAGTCCCCTCCTTCTATATATGTGATTACTTCCCAAACTCACTTCCACCTTGGCTTTGTTGGCGGTGGTAAGGAGCAAGGTTATTATGTCCTGCCTGAAGATTCAGTTCATACGGCTCCTTCCCCAAGGCTGCTAAGGTACCCAGTCCTTGTGGTTATTAGTGAAGAAATCACTTCACTTCCCTTAAAAGCCAGTTGGAATCTAAAGACTCCCTACCTTAACCCCTCCTATGAATGAGTTAAAACACTACATTAATCCCCCAAACTCTAAATCATCTTCTACAAATAAGGTATGAGACTAACAGAGTTAAAGATGATATCTTTATATTGCAGATTCAAATGTCTTATCTTTATATTCCCAGCAGACCCTTCCATTCGCTGTGGGAGGCCATTTACCCTAGACTTCAGCTTCAGTGGCTAAACATTTCCCAGTTACTCTCAAGAGAAACTTATATTTGTTTTGAGTACAAGTCATTTAAATGCTGATTATATTTTTTGCTTGAATTATCTCAGGGGCATCTTGAAGATTGAAAGCACCATGGAGTTGACATTGTAAGATCTAGGTATCTTGCTCAAATATACAACACAAACCCCCAATTTCTAAGCCTAACCATGCCCCCACTCATCTTGCCAGAAATTTTTCTTTTCTTAGAGGCATAACAAACATACTTACAAAACAGTCCTTCAGCCAATCACACCCCATCACTTTAGTCCAAAAGATGACAATATATTGGGAGTCATCATAATCCCTTGCAGCACCCACCCTGCCACTGGTGTCAGAGAAAAATAAATGCACAGAACTAGAACAAATTTCCTGTCCCTGAAGAAATGCTGCACTGTTACTATCCTTTGTTATGATGAAATTATTTTTGAATGTGAAGAGGGATACAACAGTTCTTGTTGGGATCATCAGATAATCACTAGTCCTGTGGGGTGAGTTGTGTCTCCACCAAAAATATGTGAATATGCTGAAGTCCTCACTCTCAGTGCCCTAAAATGTAACTGTATTTAGAGACAAAGTCATTAA